GGTGGAAAATCACCGTCGAGCGCGTAAACGTTGTCAGACGGACGATGGCATCCAGCAAAGTCTACTGAATCACGATGTGGTACAGTTGTTAGAAGAATGGCTCAACGCTTGCACATACGAGCGCACACTCCAACTATACCCCAAATGGCATTTGATGGCGACCCATGAATTGCTACAGCTGTTGAGCCCGGACACAGAGAAGACACAACAACGGTCAACAGCACTTTCCCTTTGCCCGAAAACTGGATCAACTGCCTCCGCGCGCTATTTGAGAGGGTCCCTAACCAAGTGACATACCGCTGCACCCTCTCGCCTCTATTCCACTGAACGAATGGCATCCCACAAGGCTCAATCGTCTGCTCCCAGCTCTTTATTATCTACATAGATTCCTTAACTGTCACGCAAGCACAATTTCGACCCAAGCTCCTCCGCTACTATTTATTTGTTGATGACACACGGATCCAAGCCCCTTAATTGGTTCCGCTCCGGCCCTTCTTAGATGACATTGATGCGTGGGGACGCAAATCTGGTCTCGAACAAGGTATCATTAAACCCCGAGTACGATCCACCGACTTGCGACACGCGGCGCCAACCCTCCGTATAAATGGCGAGCGTATCACGCCGATGCTTGCAGACGCACCTTGGAACACACGTTACCTTCCCCTGAAGATGGTGCCCACACATGCCAAACCGAAATACTCCAAATATCTGGGCTTCCCACTCTCTCACGAAATATCAGGGATCAACCTCGCCAGACATATGGAATCCCTGGTTGCAGCATTGTCTCTGGGTATCGCCTCTTTCTGCGCTTATGGCTTCCATGGCTTCAGTTGGCGACACCTCCGCAACCGACTGGTGCTGTTCAAAACATTCATCCTATCCACGGCTACATATGGCCTGAACATTATTGCCTGGGCTCCGCCTATATGGAAGGACGCCCTGTTCGAGCGCTTGAACTCAGCACTAGTCTAAGCAGCAGCCTTCATCACGGGCATTAAATACCCTCGGTTTCCCGAACATCAAACAAACTTACTCTACTTTGTGGCCTGCTCCCCGCGCGACCATTCGCGGACTACCTCGGAGGTTGCCCGGGAATACAACTCGATTCAATGGCCAGCACAAATCCACTCAACCCTCTGACGCAACCCGCCTGGGCCCACGACAAACCATCACTTTCCCGTACAGGATTTATGCTCACCTGAAAACTGTACACAAAACCACGGACAGGCGTACACCCAACCATGTAGCCCTCCGCCACGCTGTGACGACATCAGAAAGAACTCAACAAAACGTTGGTTCAACAAGGAGATCGCGGCAATGGCCCGGCGCCAATACTACTACCAACTGGTTATGGGTAAACCGCCAACCTCAAACCGAGACAAAGCCAGGCACGACAGCTTCAACCGCTGCCTCGAGCCAATACCAATCCGGCTCTGTTCTATGGTTGTAACGAATACGTACATGTTCACATTGCTCGACTACCGCATCGACGACTGCCCAGGTAGCCACAAGTTCACTACCAGCCACTTTACCTGCATATAACAACTGATTCGATGTATCCTGGTAGGCCTGAAACTGCCACCCATTGGCCCTGACCTCCTCCAGCAAATACAGGAGTGCCACGACTTCCACGGTATCTGGACCCTCCACGACACCTTGGATCTTTTCTCCAGCATGTAGTAGAACCACCGTACCTTCACCCGTCTCTGACGCATCAACAGATATTCCCCATACCCCGGCTAATCACGCTGTTAAAGTACTACTTCCAAATTTCGGTTCAAACCAAATCATCGCGCTTGTTGGTCCCGCCTATGATACTTCCGATCCCGGCCAGCCAGCACATACCGAATGCATCCGTGGTCTGGTGCGGCATTGGCTCACCCCCATTCTCGCTCCTCGACCGAATTATGACGGATAATCTGGTCCTACTGGGTATTTCGTACTTTGCACCAACCCATTCCACGGCACTACACGGCGCAGACCCGATCCGTACCACAGAGGTGGGTACGCTACTTAGTAGGTCAGCAAGCGTATCAGTGTTTTGTCAGCACCGGCCCGAATTGACTCGGCGCACATCCTCCATTGTCGACTCACTTGGCCCAAGCTTCAAACGGTAATTCACTGACCACTTCTTCCCATCAATCTTTCCCGAACCACTACAACGGCTATGAAAGCCATACCATATGTTCATACATTGTAACGTACATACATTGTAACTTATCTCTTTTGAAATTAATAACATTATCCCTATCTACGGACATGAATATTATCATAGGACAGGATATGATAAGGCCTAGGGTTGTACATAGGCGGTATTCAATCACATCTTGCTCCTATCGACCCCACGGAGCTTTGTGATGAGATGCTGAAACCAATACCACGTTGGCAGTCGCCGAACACAACGGAGCCGGTGGACGCTCGACAACGGTTGACTACCTAGTTAGAGGCAAACGCGGCGATTCCAGACAACGCACGATGTCGCCTCAAGGATAGTGATGTCATGATACCAGTTACACGAGAACAAGCCATGAGTATGCGCAGATCCACGCGTAATTTCTTATCAGACCGATGGCTATCTTATGTCGATGAGCAAGTACAGAAATGAATGAAAGACCTAGTCATTACTAAGCGAACTAAACCAACAACAGTTAATCTACTGCAGCTTGCCGTACCCACGTTCGATAGTGAAGGCAAAGTTAAGAAGGTACGGGTGTGTTTAGACATGCGTGCGGTAAATGCGCTCATTCCCGGTGACCAATTCTTGATTCCGAAAGTTAACGAACTTATTTCGCGACTGAAGAGCAAAAGGTACTACACAACTCTGGACATCTCGGCGGCCTACCACAGACCACCGATACATCCAGATTCACGATATCTGCTCGTCTGTTCAGCTTCAAACATGAGCGCTGCCAGTATTCTTTTACATCGGCACCATTCAGCCTACATGTACTAACGCAGCAGTTCCAACGTACATTGAGCACAATCCTGGACGGACTACCAGTACATCACTACATTGATGGTGATTGCCAGTGATGATTACGATGAACACATCCTTATAGTAAAGGAAGTCATCAAGCGTCTTATATACCATAGTTTTAAGCTGAACCCAGCCAGGTGCCACCTCGCAATTGCGGAGGTAATGATACTGGGCAAGAAGGTATCAGCACAAGGCATCGATGTGGATTATGAGAAACAGGCAAAGCTGCTAGATTGGCCAACCCCACAACGTTACAAGGCCATAGCGTCAGCGTTAGGCTTAGCGAACTATCTCCACGAGCACCTTCCCAACTTTGCCCATATCGTAGCGCCGCCACGGGAGTTCTGCAAACTCAATCGAATGAGCTAATTAGTGAACGATGGGAACAACGACATGCCGACGCGTAGCAGGCAATGAAGGAGGCGGTGGTAAATGCATTGGCATTACATTTTCCGATAGAAGGAGTATCACTGAATTTGGAGACTGACGCCAGAGATTACGGTATAGGCGGAGCATTGTTCCAATGGGTCGACGGCAAGAAACACTACCTGATGTTCTTTAGCAAGACGGTGAACCATGCACAGCATAACTACGCTACACCCATGAAGAAACTACTCGCACTCGTGTATGGTCTAACGCACTTTCGAGACCACCTGGACGGGCAGCAGTTTGCGGTGGTTACAGATCATAAAGCACCATTGTATATGAACACACAACTCAAGCTTAACCCGATGCTACAGGGATGGCACCACATCATCGTGCCGTTCAACTTCACGATTTCTCACATCCCGGGGGAGAAGAATATCCTACCAGATATGTTGAGTAGGGTGCATGAGGATACGGCATAGAGTGATGAACCCGAGATACTGTACACACATTGTTGGAAGCTGTTTCCTAGATACTTTGAACAAGCACAACAGATCTTGGTCCGAACAATGTAGACGTGTTTGCGGACCCACAGAACACACAACTGCCTCGATTCTGGACCACGAATGACAAGGAAGGGGCGTTTAAGCACGACTGGTCGTTAGTGGATGAATGGATGAACCCACCTTAGAAATTGATACACAAGATGCTTAGGAAAATCAAGACAGAGGGGGCATCCGCCACAGTACGTATACCTTGGGTACCATGGGCCCCATGATTCGATTTACTCAAGCAGATAGTTCAAGCTGAACCGGTACTGGTGCCTAGAAAACTCACATATATTGCTGAAATTTGGCAAGTATGCGTGCGGTAAGACACCTTGGGGGGGTCACACAGTGATATCGAGACTAGGTCCATTCAATAATTTCAAGCTGGATACCCCCTTCTCAAAGCGACTGGGTTACGCAGAGCCACGCCATATACCGTATGCGAAATGTTTAGACACAGCACGAGAGATATCGGTCGCCATGGCTGAAGCCGAAGGTCAACCGACTTTTACACAAGCAACGCCAGAGGAACAACTTCGGCGTACACAACTAACACGAGTACAGCACGAGCAAGGCCATCACGGGGCAGCCGATACGGTACAACAGCTCCGCAACGATGGACATGTGTGGCTGGGTGGTCTAGAACTGGAGACGACGGTTAAGAGAAAATGCAGTGCATGTTTAGGTCAGGATACACTACGTAGAGGCGTCCATCCGATGATTAGCATCGACGCGCGCTACCCTTGGGATCACATCCAGATGGACTACATCCCTAAGGAAGATCAAGTACATTCTCCATGTGTTGGACATTGCCACTGGCTATTCGATTCTAAGTGCAACACCGGACAAGACAAATGTGACCACCGTACAGACAATGTCAGAATTTTCGGTGAACATGGTTTCCCACGACGATTACAAACTGACATGGTACCAGAGTTTACAAAAAAAATAGTGGTCACCCTGTTACAGGAAGTGGGCATGCTACATAAGGCATCACCCTGATATCGCCCACAGATCTTATGGGCAGCCGAGCGTCGTCAAAAGGATATTACACGATCAATACGGCAATGCTGTGAGGCGGTTCCACTTCAATAGGATGAACGCCGTCCGTTTACGATGCTCTATCAGAACCTCCGTATATCCGCAGACAGAAGAGTGCACTCTTTAGCGTGTACTTCGGACGCAGGCATGTACCGTTTGCCGACTTTACTGATGCGGTACCGGAATCACAACCAGTGACTAACGATACATGGACGCAACGATTAGATGAGATGCAGGATACCATCTTACCAACGCTTCACCATATTACCAAGAGGTATACGGGCAAGCGAACGAAGACCTTCGACCGTCTGTATGCCCACGACTTGGTACACTTCGATGAAGGCGACGTAGTGATGGTGGGCTCGGAAGGCAGAACGACAAAAACAATGCGTCCTCTCTTTGGCCCGTATGTTATCAAGACTATAATCGGGTGACGCTACGAGTTAGCGAACAAAGACGGGTCCGACCGTCAGAATTCAAGGGCAAGCCAGTCTGTGTTGAACTCCTCCGGTTAGTACATTGTAGTATAGACCCACTATTTGAGGATACCTTGTGGGCAGAAGGTGGAGTTGAGTTCCGCCATATTCCGATCGATGAGACAGGCAGTCTTGAATACTTGGTGCGATGGCGCGAGGGCGACCCCACGTGGGAGACAGCTGAGGCCATTACCGACCTCAACGACATTGTCGCCTACAACAAGGACTCGCAGACGCGTGCGCGCAAACGACGCCGCGACCAGATTTAGATTTTTACCTGTATATAGTTACTTATATGTTATGAACGACGGTGCGCTCGAGACGTATACTTCGGGCCCTCTAGCTCTCTGAGGATAAATACCAGCATACCGGTCAGGGTATGAGTATTCCTTTCCTTTTCTCTACAGCTGGCACACTGGTAGGTAGTGCTTCAGCATGGGGGAGTTGTGGTCGGAATACACTCAGACGGGGTTATTAGTGTTCACCCAGACAAGATTAAATTTGTTATTTTAGTTTAGGTCATTTTAGTTTATAATATCAGAATCTGTAAACTTAATTTGTACCGATCAAGGTTTTAGATTGGCCCATGTCTCAGAAGTAACTAGGTTCTGTAATTAAGGTTTAATGAATAAAAGAAAAATGTCCCCCTCTGAACAGAGGGAGAACGTTGAGATACTGTTATTCGACGTTTAACTTCAACGTAGCTGGATGATTGTTTTACAACAATACAGCGCAATTCAATGCATGAGTCAAACAAACAACACCTATAGCTAATCAAAGGGCTACTATAGCCGGGGTCGAATAAATTGTCAACTGTCTCATTTATAGAAGACACTATATTCCGAGATCTCCACGGACCCAGTACTCTATTAAAAACCAGTGCGCGTGTTCATTGGCTTGCTATGCCCAGCTTAGACGGTTAGGGTCTGACATAAGAATTATACTATTCTACTCGGCAAATGAATAGGAATAAATCAAGATTTTCTTCAGAAATCAGAACTGGATTGTCCACACGAATATACGTAAAAATACCCTAAAAGCAACAGTGTCGCATTGATATCTGCTACACAAGTCTATACGAGACTTAATGATGTTCGCAACATGTAGGACAATCGGCCAGTGACTAATCAAACACATTCTCAACGTAAGTTGTCGCCCTAGACAGAGAAAAAGTAACTCCACGCAAGTTCTTCGCCCCGAATTGTGACAGAGAATATATCAAAGCACCATTTTTTTAAGTACTGACTGTTCTGGGCCACCATGCAGACGCGGCGCCTCTCCATAACGGTGTCCAGGCAACCAGCCAGACCACCTAAAGTTTAATCTGCGCCAATTGAATTATGAGGAAACAGCCAAATTTTTGGCAGATCCAGCGAACCCTGACTATGTAAAATACACAGGCGATGCAAATACTTTCCAGTGTTTATAGAAAATGTATACTGATACAGTACTTCAGAGTGCACCTAGGGGTATTATATAAATTCATATAGGTACATCATGTACAGTAGGCAATACCCAAAGCACTTCGATCCATATACAGGTAGAAAATTAGACTTTTATTTTAACGGCCTTCCCTGGTCATGAATGCTAAACACTGCTCTGGACGTGTCTAAGGTATCGGTATTCACTACTACTCGATATCAGCAATTTAAGATCTATTATTTCCCCCTTTGTATACAGTACACGTATGAAGGAAAGCAATGGTCTTCTCGCTGCGAGTCCTACAGAGCTTTTTCTCGTTAGCATGGTTCGCTAAAAGACAGCTGGGAGCAGAAATTAGAGGAGCAATCCACCTGCTGCCTGTTATTCTGCATGCTACAACACTTTGCGAGCTTAACTTGTGCATCTATGCGTGCGTCGTCTTGAATTCATCCATGAAGTCGATCAGGGTAGAGACTTCCTCCTCTGTGATGGCGTTGTAGATTGACGCGCGAATACCTCCAACCGATCTGAATAAAGCAAAATACCCAATTCAGAATTTGTTCGACCGCAGAAAAAACAAAAACACAAAAAACAAAAAAGGTCTAAATATAAACCACCTATTATTTGCAGACAACTGAAATATATTCCAACATAGGAGCGAGCCGTACAAGTTTGAATTGGACCCACTAGAATGGATAGAAACCAGGACTCCCCAACACATCCCCACTCCACAAATACATCTCAACGATGACCTACCTGTGTCCCTTCAACTGCACCATGCCCTTCTTAGCAGCTTCCTCGAGGAATACAGGCTCCAACTCCTCCTTAGATAGGCGGAAAGGTATGTTCATTCTTGAACGCGACTTTTCCTCAACCGGTGCGCGGTAGAAACCATCTGAGCCGTCGATAGCCCTGTACAAGGCACCAGACTTGGCGTCACTCTTCTTTGAGTATGCTGCATGTACATATTACAAGATAGGATCAGAAAGGAGCGTAGAACGCGCGTTTCACGACATTCATGTCGTTGAAGGTCCACAGATTTAAGAATGGCTATCAAAAACACGTTCATATCCCTAATACAGTTTAAGTGTGACTTGATGCAGCACAAACCCAATATGTCGAGGTGAATACTGCTTCAAATAGAGACAGGAACATGTGCAGACAGTAGTCATATTATGCACCTTGTGAACTCGCCCCTGAGTAGAACGAACAGCTGTGATAACATACAGAGGCTCGATTTATATACTTTGGGCCAGAGTGAGCACATAAATCACCGTAGCATTCCACAAGAGGTGGGCGCTCTATGTTGCATGTCTCAAGCTCATACACTGGAATACGCATGGTTTTTTAACCCCTAATGGAGAAACACTTTAGACTGTCAACACATACGGACATATTTGATTCTCATACATACCCGCTAGGCCGCCATTGTCGATCAAATACCGGAACACCAGACCAGCCATGTAGATGGCGAAGCAGGGCGGGGTATTGTACATGGAGCCGTTTTTAGCCATCACACTGTAGTCCAGCATGGTGGGAGTGATCGCCTGAGCATTGCCCAGGAGATCGTTGCGAATGATGACAATGGTCATACCTGCCACATGGAAGCGTGTCGGGATAAAGAAAAGAATTGTGAGAAGAAGTGTTTAATCGGCAGCTTCAAAACTTTCAGGAAGTGAATAACTAAATGGCGGATGATGATAATAGTGTGGCTCGACCACCACATTGCATCATACTATATATATATATAGATAGATATATATGTTGGGTTGAAGGCCACACACGGTCAGCTTCAAAACCAACAAAGTTTTCTCCTTGAAAAACATGTGCATTGGACATGGTAGTTAGCAACTCTTGCGCACTAAAAGTATACTCCAAGAGATGCCACACGAACAAAACACGGGCGATTTCTCTCGAAGAACCTGCCAATGAATCATTACTATGCACAGACCAAACGTACCTGCGGGGCCAATGTTCTTCTGAGCTCCACCATAGATGACAGCGAATTTAGTAACATCAACTGGACGTGACAGGAAGTTACTGCTCATATCCGCAATTAGCGGCACGCCGTTTGTCTCGGGAACGGTAGAGAATTCAACGCCTGTTATAAAATGGGACAACGAATTGCACTATGAGCGTTTAACAGTTTCGAAATAGAATGAAAGTATTACTCGCCAAAATTTTAGCTCTGAAGAAAATGGCACAATGGACCTTACTCGTACAGGCGTGAGTTGGAATTTTAATAAACACATGTGTGCACCCGTATGATGCAGGATGGATCAAAACAATTAAAGAAGTCAACACATGTCGGTCCAGCTATGGAAACGCGCGTAAAGATACGGATGTAACTCGTAAATAGACACAATTTGTAAGGTCAGAACTGCATAGTTGTTGATCCATGCGCCTGTTGGTGCTGTATAGTTGCACTTAAGGTTAAAACGTATCATGGTATGCATATATGACCCGCTTTCCACAACACGGTGTCATGAAGTATACGAAATTGGACAACGAACTCGTGACATGTTCAGAATGAATACTCTGGGACTTTGGAGACAAAAACCAACAACATAAGGAATAACATACCATGAACAGTCTCGTTGTCACAGTAGTACACGTATTTGGCATCAGGAGATAGCGACCATTCGCTCTTGTCGGGGATTTCTGTGAAGCCATTGGCGGGTTTGGGCAGCACCTTGTTCACGTTCTTGACGTATTTGGTAGCCTGTTCAGAAGTGTAGCATGAGGAGGGTGCGAATAAGCAATACGTTCGACAACAACAACAGTGTGAGCAGCGGAGCTATGTTATAAACGGGTGAATGTGCCACACTGTGGGCGGTTGGTGTGGGAACGAAGTACAAAACGGAAGATCTGCTCGATTAACTACATAAACGCTTGATGCTCTACAGACAACCAGATGCACAAAGGCACTCGGTATCGTTTATACATTCTAGTGTGATATGTAACCAGTCTGTCCGCGTCCCATTCATGTTTGCAAACCAGTGTACCAGGATGTCCGGATCCAGTAAACATCGAGAAGGACTATTTAAAAACAAAAACGAGTATACACGGTATAACACGGAAGCACAAGTATACATAAACAGGCTAAGGCCCACAACGGACCTTCCATATACCACGCCATCCGAAATTCCACAGTATCTACCTACCTCTTCTGCAGCCTTCTTGGACCAAGAGCCGGTGATCATGTAGTCGACTGTGTCTTCGGGGCCCTATGTTTAGAGGATACAGACAGGGGAACGAGTTCAAGCTACTTTAGTATATACATAACGTTGAAGGTGAACAGATCGGTACCGGCGTTTAGAGTGCATTGCTAACTTTATTGTAAGAATTTATAGCAGTGTGGTCAGGACAATACTGACAGCAGATGTTGCGAGTTCACCTCAATACATACATCCCACAAAACCAAAACAACTGCTAAGGTCATACTTGAAAGCTACGACATACCGCCAAGTTCAACGGCAGCGCAGCGAAATTCGTTGTGGCACCTCCTTGTAGAAAAAGGATCGAGTAGTTGTCCGGAATGGCCCTGTGAATGTGTGGGGAGTGCATAGGAGATTTGAATTTGGTTATACAAGCGTACTCAGCGTGGATCATTCCGGCAGAATTTTTTTTTTTCAATGCGAGAAGAACACATCTATTGTGCCACTAGATGGAGCGTGGCTCCATACTACCTACAGCAACGGTATGATCACTTGATTTGTACACGCGTAGTGATACAATAACCTGTTGGAAGGGAAATACACAAACTAGATTAAGAACCGAGTATTCGCACTACAATTGCACTGCAACGATAGTCTTACATCAGCTCGCGAATGTCGGCTTCGGCATCCTTGATGATCTTTGTGAACTCCTTGCCTCTGTGACTCAACTCCATCACACTCATTCCACAGCCCTCATAGTCCAAAAGCTCGGCCTGGGCCTGTGTGTACATATATTGGACATAGCGTTCAATGTCAAAGATTCACACTGTGTGAAGTCATGTAATATAAAATGCAAGTCATTTTGATATATGCGAAAGTAGATATATACATACATACATACTCACATATTACATACAAACACACACACACACACACACACACACACATACACACACACACATACGTATATATATATATATATATATATATTCCAAAAAAGCCAGGACAACTGTGGCGGCGGAACACAAGACGATTCCAATTGCAGTGCGGGTGTTTACACAGTAACTTTGAACTGAACGTATCGTCGTTGCGACATTCTACTACAATGTTAAAACCATAGACAAATAAAATCATTTGGTACACAGAGAGCGCTAGTCTCATATCCCTTCATGCTGATCAGTACATTGTCACGTAGATGGCATTGAACAAGGCGATATCAACCTCAAATTCGATGCGCGTTGACAAGAACCGTACTCCACTCGTTACTTGAGACTCTACTGTGGAGAAGCCTATCAAAACGTGCTCACTTTTTACATCTCTCACTCGTTGATCATAGGGGGCAATGCGCTTCGAATCGTACAGAAACTTTGCACCGCTCAATATCGAAAGTCGATGCACTATAAACTATAAACTATAAACTACGAACTATATATATATATATATATATATATATATATAATAATAATAACGTAGGTGTTAGTATACTATAATATATAATATATAATAGTAACGTACGTACGTACGAACG